ATGGAACATTAATTGTTGATTGCTATAATGACTATTTAACTCTTAAAAGCTAATCTTGTTGGTCGTACTTTTTAATTCACCTTGCACTAATTAAATCACACCTTATATGCTGTAACAGCGTTTATGACATGATCTCGTGTATATTAAATAAACAAAACTATTTAACAGCAATAATAAAAACATATTAGTATTAAAAGAAATTTTGGATTGTTTAAAAATCGTTGAAGAGTCTAAAATCTATTCTACAACGTCATGTTTTTTTTACATTTTTTAAGTGATTTCGTGAAACCTACTGGTCTAACATGTTTTTTTAGTAAAACTTTTCACAATTCTATACGTTTCAAACACAATTTTACAACAATTTTGACTGATCTTTTACTCAAACGTTGTCATGAACACGAAGTCAAAAATAAGGAAACCGTCACGTTTGCCGGTAAATAATCACTTCAATAAGGGACATGTATCAAATACATTTTTTAGCAGTTTATAAAAACGAATAGAAAGTAAAGTTAATTCATGACTTTTGCTTTTAATTTTTTACATCCGTTATTTAAATTTATTTGGCTATACTATACCATATTGTAAAGTTAAAAAAAAACAAGTACCCTCAAAGTTAAAAATACAAGAAAAACAATAAATTTCCTCTTGTCTTTTTTATTTATTTATCCATTAAAATTTAGACACTAATTTTAGTCCTACTGAATTTAAGGTAAATTTTTAAATACAACTATTATTGTTGTCATTATCTTTTAATTTACGGTAATCTATAACATAACCTTAATATCGATTAAAAATGAATAATAACAAGGAAAAGTTGTTATTACACGTTTATTTTACCATCAGTCGATATGTTGACATAATTTAAATGTTTAAAACAATTATCTCATGCGTAGCATTCTTATTTGTAAGAATGTCGTCATTCGACCCCAACGATACTATTAAAATATTAATTTTAATATACTATTTCAAATGAACGATATAAAAAACAACCGTTACATCGATTATAATATTTACCTTGTTCGGAAATTCTTAATGTATTTAAATAGAAAATAACTTTTGAATATGAAAATAATCGAGAGAAATTGTTTTTAGAAAAATGTATCATTTGTATTATTTTTTAAGTACAATTTTTACCAGTACCGCTACATATCAAAGACAGGAAATACAAGAATATTTCCTTTGATCATATATTTTTTAATTCGTCGGTAATTTTTTAATAAATGTACTGCTTACTATCCAACAAAAAATATCTTATTGTAATGATGAATGAAACGAGTTTTGTATTATTCATCATCGTTCAGTAACTAAATCAATTTGTTTGAAACGCATTCGTGTTTTCACCGATAAAATTAACATTCAAGTAGACAATTTGTATTTTCCTATTGTTGTGTTTTTGTATTCATCGGAAATTGATAAACGAAACGTAGAACGAAGTGAATAAAATTGATGTGGTGAAATTAAAATAGATTCATTGATGACATAAAAGTGTCATTATAAGAGCTGACCAATGAAAAGACTAACTTGATCCAAACGTCGTCATCTCGTATAATTGATATTTAACATTACATCATCATTGATAGTGGTCTAAAATAATTTGTCGTATAAAAAAACACTTTTGATAATTTTCTCCCGTTGCTGCGAGATCGTATTTAATAAAAACAGTTTTATTGAGAAATGAAATTGATAGTTTATATCGGATTATCGCTTACATTCAGAAAAGTATTACACCTGATGCTTTAATTCAAACATTAGCACTTTGGATATTTTCCAAGTAAACGATCGGATGATTTTTACATTTCGATATCATGCCAAAACTAGTTTTCAGAAGCTGAAGCTGGTATGGATACATTTTTAGACTACCGAGTTATTGAATTCATAGTCGCGCACAAAGATTCAGGTCCAGAGCAACAAAATTATGTACCCACCCATACATGTATTTATGAGAAATTTAAGATACTTGCAACCTTTAAAAATTCATATTTTAAACTCTTATTTGGAAATTTTATACAATAAAGTATTATAGTTCTCTCTTAATTTCCAAATAAATTACCATTTATTCTATCAAGCACTATTTGTAACCGGTTCAATTAATAAAAATTAGACCAGTCAGGGTCAGCAAAAACATCTATTTCTGCCCCTGTACGCAGGCCTAGGATTGGAGTACAATACAATAAGCGTGTATAAGTCGCTTTAAAAAATAATAGGAATAAATATTTCGAAATCGTTTTAGGCGTCTTCGTATTGAAAACATTAAGGCCCCAGAGTGTCTACAAATAACTGTCATTAATAAGAGGATAAATAACCATAAAATGAAGTTAGAAGGTCAATAAAAAAATAAGTATACATGTTTTATTTTCAAGACGCGTATACATAATAGAAGTTACGACTTTGAAAGGTATCTAAAGGTACCATTTGGACAGTTGTTATTAATAACATGACGTTAAACAGGTTAAATTTTTACTGACGTCGAGATTCGTCGTAATGTAAATCATAAAAGACAACCAATGATTTTTAATTTTAATGTTTTAAGTGTTAAAAAAATGATTACGTTTGGTTTCGGTTTCAGTAGATTCATTTTCTTAATGTGAGAACATTTAGACTACCACTTAAATTACATTAATTACTACCGAGGTAAATAAGTACATCGAATATACTTTAATTACAATCATAGTAATAATACAGTGTAGTTGTAGGCGAAAGTAAAATGAAACTGTTAAAACTATAAAATTGAGGAAACATTAAAATTTTCTGAAATTGTTTGAGCTATCATTTTAAATCCAAACGGATTCCACGCGCGTATTTTATACGTTGTATTATTCACAAATGACTGAAGTTTTAAAATAGCTGTTTAAATTACAATTTACTTTTTGTACACCTACGAATTTGGCGAATTGCCAAATTAAGTGTAGACAGTAAGGTAATTTTTTTTTTCCTATTAAGTTGTCTATAATCCAAAGAAAATTAATTTTACTATACTTTAACATGGGATTCACATTGCGTAGTCTATATTAATTAAATATTCTCTTAAATGTAACCACTTCATTTTATGGCGTATTTTAATGTTCTTAAAACTAAATAAGTACTCGCTAACGTGTCTTAAAATCCAAGTACTTAGTCGGTACTTGGTAGTAATAAAACGGTAAACGATAAATTAATGACAATGTCAAAATATTACGTCATTTCGGTGAACATTAATGAACACGCCAATATGCCATTGTGCACATCTATGTCATTAACAACGGTTAAATATTCAATAAACTATCGAAGAAACCTGCTGATTATCGACCATGTGACTCCTTTGGCAGTCGAGTAGATGGTAAAAAATGGTTTTTTTTTTTTTATTATTTCACACTCGGTCTCGAGCAGACAATACGGCGCGATAGTGTTGGCAAAGTGTACGGCCGGCCAACGATGATTTTGTAATGATCACGCAACTATGAAAACACATTACCTATGTGATAACAAGTAGTTTTTTAATGGGCATACGCAATTTTCTAGATTACTGATCACCTGCGAATGAAATGAAAAACGACTAAATATTGAAAAATGATCAAGTACCTATCGTTGTCGAAGCGATTTATTATCGTACGTGACATACCGGCGCGCAATATGCAAAATATCAAAACGGTAATAGATATAATACATTTTCATTAAAAGTCAACGGACAACGAGTAATAGGAAAATAATTATGTTGAAAAATAAAATTAAAATGAGAAATAAATACATATATATCGAATCCAGTTTTCCTGTGCCCCGTACAAGAGTATATGACCAGCGGTTGAGTCAGGACAATATATCCAATTAATGGCACTTTAAAAACTTGTATTATCCTCGCAGCAGCCGGTTTTCACGATCCTCGTCTCCTTCTTGTCTCCATTGAAGCAAATAATAGCTGCACGTATATACATGACCTTACAGTGGCAGAGACACATAATATCTTTGTGAACACTGGCGTTCGCAAATTTTATCTAACTAGAGACAGAGGTCTTTGCTCCGTTGCCGGTGGCCACCGACATAAACCAGCCCCGTCTTGTTCTTGGCCTACAGTCAAAAACGCAATAGTTATGTATTTTTATTCATTGATAGTTTCACACGGTAATCTGTTTTCATGTCATTGCGCATTTTAAATTCGATAAAATGGTTAATGTACAAAGCGTTTGTTAACGGAGTGTGTAAAGATAAATGAGCTTCCACGAGGTTTATTGGCAATGCAAAAGATTTGACTTGAAACCGGTCGTTGACGTCCGACACTTACTGTAATAATTGAGCGCCCTGTAAGTATCAAGGAAATGTATTATTCCATTGCATCCAATGGCTTTTGAGACACAAACGACGTTTACAACGATCACCAAATAATTTTTAACATCACTACGATACTCTAGATCGAATTAAAAAGAAAAGTCCTATATAGCTAATTAATAATCTTTATTTTACTTAACGCCAAATTTTGTTATGTAAATGTTATTTTACTGTACGGAGATACCATACTATTTACATAGAGTAACTTTTCAAAATTACAATAACTATTAGTGTGATAAAAGATTTTGCTCGAGTCGTGGGCGACTTTAAACTGTTAACCATAAACAAATACCCACATGTGTTTGCGCATTGAGCGTGGAAAATAATCTCTTAACCAATTCACATATAATGTTTTACTTCTTTATTGTTCTAGAATTATACATGAAAACATGTATGTTATCTTACATTTTATATGTGCTATATGCGAAACGATCTATGCGCTTCTTCCGGGTGCTCTATTATGTTTATCATTATGATTTAATAAACAATAGCTACCGAGTTTCTCGGACATCAAACGTCGGCAATATAATATCGCGCTTAATGAATATATTACTTATGCACTTACTGTAATATAAATAATAACCACGAAACGATCATGTTTCAATCGTAATTTTAAGACTATGCGCCGTTACAGCAACTTCCTTTTTTAAAGAAATGCCTTCCTGTTTCGCAAAATGTTTATTTTTGTTTTATTCTTATAGATACTTGTCAATCGTGTTTACCATTGAACATTCCAAACGTCGAATGATCGAAAAAGCTAAGAACATTTTACATCTTTGCTGACCACCTTCGTTGTGCACCTCAAATCATTGTCGTGAGCAAATACACCATGACGTTCATATCGACATTGAGTTTGATAAGCATAACGGCGTTCGTGTCGCAAGTCTTCGCCAATACGGTAAATATTGTTATTATGATTATATAATTGTATAATTTAAGCACGCTTATAAACAGATAGGTCTAAGGTCTAGGCTTAAGTATTGTTATAATACGTGGTAGAAGCCAAAACTCCATAAAAAACGCATGAACACAACTGTACTGATAGCGGATTAGACCCCAAAACGACCCCGAGGTAAGTTTAATACAATGCTAAACAATAGAAAACGTAGATTGATTTAATTAAGGTAACAGTAGTGCAGCTGCAACAAAATTGGTTCATATCACTACAGGCTACTCGTAAAATAACGACCAACTTGTTCGTTACATTTAAACCGACAATACTGCGCCTGGTCAGCCGACTTTTTACGCAAGTGAACTACTTTATTTGCTCTACTATTATAATATTGTATAACCACTACGTAATTTACCTCCGCATAAGATATTGATGTGGTTAAACCAGATCACTTGTAACGTTGCTTGAGGCCAGGGATTTCTCGTTAAGTGAAGCTCAGACTTAACTTCTTTAAGAAAAAGAAATGTAACATTGATTAAGATGTTAAGAGACGCACTATCTCATATACAGACACGATAATTAATAATACTAAATTTAACGACGCGTGAACTGTTAATTGAACCATAAGAAAACTTATTGCGATTTAAAAACTGCATTTTCGTTGTTTGTTCGAAAGTTGTTTGAGAGCTCACATTTTTGGACACGCAGACTAATAATATTATTGTTAGTTGATTCGACCTCAAATTAATCAAATTACGACGATTTTAAATAATTTTACATACGGAAGTCTGTATTGTTTTGAAGGACTGGCCGAATATCATGAGATAATATCTAATGAAAATAATATTTTTGGGTCTACAGGTAATTAATACTGTTCAATTATCAAATAAAAAAACCCAGTCTGTTTATTAGAATATAAAAAATATTACTTGTGAAATGATATTAAAAAAAAAAAAACATTCCTATAATACCATTTGTAAGACCATACAAAAGTCAAGCGCCAAAAAGAATAATAAAAGTTGTCGGTGTCTGTTTAGTATAAAGTAACAACTTTCGTAATAAGACCGTACGATAAAAACCAACATCTTTACCTCGTAAGTTCCTAGCCAGTTAAATGGAAACGGAGGCGTTCCGGTAATGAAGCGATTATTATAATAATATAGTGTTTTTTTTTTTATAACTCCTTGGACTTGTCGAACAACGGTCTAGTATTTAACATGCCTCTCGATAGTATAGGGGCCACGTTGGCTTTTCCGATACCAACGACCTTCCCACAGTAGACGAGGTCATCGATTTTTCGGTAATCCGTCACTCACGGACTAGGCGACGACACCGGTCTTATATTTTGTACCGTCGTCGTCCGGACAATGAATAACAATAATATTATTATCAGTAATAACAACGATAAGTCTGACCATTTGTTAAACGCGACTGCAACACACATCAACAACCCTCAACGGAACAATGTAAGTAATCGTGGGCTGAATACATAATAAAAACATTAAGACAGTCAAACGCACATGTGGTAGATGAAGAAGGGATTGGGTCAACGACAGGCGCTATCAACACACGCAAAACCAGAAATCTGATTTGCCGTGTGTGTATTCTTTTTATTATTAATTTTTACTGGCATATCTTTTTATTGGGTTGTCAACATTATTATATTTATCGACCGGAACGTATCATAGGCTCGCACGCCTATAGGAAGTCGTTGAGTTTTCGTTATCTGTCTACAAGTTTCTCCAGAGATTTATCTAAACATGATCTTACCAACACAAAGTTACACAATCATGGTGGGTCTCGTATCCCAGCAGCAGACTCGGCTACATAGTTAAACAACAGCAGAATAGATTTCTGTATGTTTAATGTATTTACGCAACGGAGTGTGGTCACGGAACAAACGCCTTCGCTCAGTTATCTCATCGAACGCCAAAAACATAATGTTTTTTCCTATATTTTCGTTAATTACTGAGAACACCATAACGCGACCGTTTTAATGATCAATTAATACTTTAACGCTCGTCCGTATGGGCAATATTGGTAAAACGGCATGTACTTGTCGTTTGTGGCCGACAATAGCACTTGTTCACTCTCGTTGACGCGTAATCGAAACTAGTTTGTTTTTTACCCACATACTGTAATAGATTTAAGAACAAAAAATAAACATCAAATAAATAATTATTTATTTTTTTCAGTTACATGAGCACATGCATACTGACGACTTGAGAAGTTTATTTCATGTGGAACACCATTCAGAAGGTAAGTGCAACGTCTTGACATTGAACTGTATATAAAAACTAGTAAAGATTCTGTTAATGATATTCCTGTGACCAGTTATTAATGTTATAGTACTATTTTAATATTATTACTTAAAATTAAATTAAATTATAATTGAGTAACTATAACGTGAAAAACTATGACAAAGAATCGGTTTATTAATACAAGTTTGAAGGTTTTTAATTACTTAATAACGTGATCTCGAAAAATAGTAAACCGTTTTTTTTTTATATTAAATAATATTGAATTAAATTAAAAACATCATATAATTTTTTTATTATAGTTATCAGAGACTTAGGCGTGTAAACAAATCCGTATAAAACGTAGACTCCTTAGAAATAGGAATAAACTTCCCTTAAATAGATATAAAAAAATAGCAATTCAAAATATTATTAATGAGTATACATTATATGCGTATACTATATAGTATAAAAGTAATTTATTTCATTATATTAATTCATTTCGACTTGTAAAAAAAAAAAACATTAAAACAGTCAAATTTTTTTTTTACTTTTCAGTTCCTCATTATGAAATTATTAGTCCTCATTCTATCGTTCGAAGGGACACTACCAACACGCACAGAGTAAGGCTGAAGGCATTTGGAGAACACCACGAATTAGAATTAGAACCCTCCGACAATTTAGTAGCCGGTGACAAGCTGCGAGCATGGACTGCTCATCACAATTCAACAACAGATACTATTCATTATACAGAACTACCTGATGTAAGACAAATATTTTATCTTATTTAATCACTTGATTTTCTATTTTATAACAAATAGCTAAGCAATAACTTGACTGTCAGTTATATTTGTATGATATTAGTATTCAGTAAATAAGTTTTTAACAATTGCTTTGAACTCATATTACATAAACAATTTATAAATCTGGGTACCTACAACAACGATTAACACTTTATTGCAAACACATACATTTCAAACAAAAGGAATTTATAAAATCGTAAGCAGTTTAAGTAAAAATATTAACTATAAAAACGTGCGAGTAATAATTAGATCATATGAAGTCAAAACTCATCCAAATACATTTTACAATTGAAAACGTGACAGGTTTATTTCTAAAATTATAAAACGTAACAATTTTACCTCTTTATTTTTTTATTCAAATTATTTTCACTTCCGTAGAATTCTTAATTTCTTTTCGCTTCAAAATAAATATAGAATTTTCTATAAAATTACATTTATTCAGATCTACAGTTTAGTTTTTTTACGAAAAAGAAAAAGACAAAATTGACGGCATATTTACTATTAAAAATTTAGCAATTTTATTGTTCATTTTGCACGTATAACTCGAATTTTATGTTAACTTCAAGAGTTAATTATTCATGTAAACAAAGTATGTTTGTGTTCATGATGTAATGCACTTATCAGTTAGGTGTGGGTGATGATACGGGGAATAGTGAAATGCTAAAGAAAATACAAGTTATCGTGACAATGCCTTGAAGTTATAACTGAATAGTGAATTCAATTGAATTTTAAACAATAATAAACGTATTAGATAATGAATCGAACAACTGAATAGTGCTACACGTTAATGTCCTATGAATAAACTACTTATATTTACATACATTAATAGTCACACAACAGTTTTCTTTTGTTTGCATTTGTTTAAAAAATATAGTCTAATATGGTCACTGGGAATTGTTTATAATATTAGGCTTAAGTAAAATCAGCGAAAGTGATAACTTCCTCGAATAAACGTAAAAAACGTTAACATCAACCATTAATGTTATTTAACATTCTTAATTTAATTGTTTTTTTTGAAAAGTTAATAGAAACAATTTTTACAGCGTATCACTGTATTACAATTCATGTATTATTTTATCAGCACTTGAACATTTATTTCCCCACATACTATAATAAATACCACCGTATTAAAAATTAAGTTACAAGATTTTTTTGTTAATGAATTATTAAGATTATATTAAAGTAGGGGTCTAAGTGAATATAAATCGGCAGTTTTTTTGTAATATAAATAACTAAACTAATATCCGGTTGGGTTGGGTTGATAATGAAACTAATGAAAGTAAACATAATTGCTGGACCTATCATCATTAAATTAGTAGCACTTCGGTAAAAATATATGTCAAGTAAAAATTATTTACTTTCCCCTATTAAGAAATAAAAACCATACAGAAAATCAACATTTAAATATTTATATTAAACGTTCAACAAAAATAAATTTAGGTGGTATAATTATAAAAAAATTAATTTTCAAGAGAATGACCACATTTGATTTATTTATATATTTTCCAATAGTGAAATTATAATTATGTCTATGAAGACATTTTTTTTACTATAACAGAAATTAAATAATAATAAAATTTATTTGAAATTTTCAACAAAGAAAAAAAATGTTAACTATATTTTTACTACATTGTAAACTCTTGAAATATCTAATTTTTTTTCTTTAATGGTATAAAATATTTTATATATATGTATATAAAATAATCATATATGAATAAAATATTTTGCGTGCTCTAAAAATTTAGGTTATTTTCCGTAAGAGTTTCACAAATAAATAATTATGTAATAAAAAAAAACTATGTTCTAATTAAATATAAAATATTAGGTGTAATTAATAATAAACAAATTTTATTTTTAGGAACACATTGGCGTACCATATCAGGACGTGGACAAACGAGCTGCCTTAATCTTACATAACGACCACAATGATGGGACAATTCTTATGGTAAGTTGACACAAGGTCAAGTTGCAGTAAGAACTATGTATGTAGGCCGAGTCATTTCGTCCATAATAATAATACGAATAATGTACACAAGAGAATATTGCATTAGAAAAACACAATTAGATTTAATAATGGCACAAAGATGTACGTAAAGGTCATTTTTTAATTAACAAATTAAAATTGACAAATATTTGACGTTCGGTCGTTGAGCACAACGATGAGTCTGAAAAGAATAATGTAAACGCAAATATTAATTAATTTTTTTCTATAATGAAATAATTAAGATAGTATTGTGAAAACGTTCCGATTAATTAAAAAACTCAAAGGATGTTACAGTGATAGTATTTATCAAAACTTGTTGTAAATCGTTGAAATCGGATTGCTGAAAGGCAAGTGGATTTATTTGGCGCCGAAACGGCGACACAATGTTATTGTATTGTTATAATATGTCGTCTCAGGTCGCGTAGAGTTCTTTGATATCGACTCGAAATACGTGCATTATAATATAACGATGTATTCAAACATATCAAATAATTAATTAATTAATAATAAATTAATTTTCCTTATCTCAAGCCAATACGTATAACTTTGTATTGAATAATTCGTTCCAATGTGATGTATCCTGCGGTAAAAATAACTCTGACCCTAAACTAGATAGTGGCACCGTTTATGAACTTAGTGTCAAATCAGCGAAATTCTAATTATGGTCAAACATCACACAAAATAATTATATTGCAACAATAATAATAATGATTCGTATAAATGGGGTTCGGTTTACAGAAAGCTAAGTTATGTATTCCGTATTATTGATCAATGAATCCATAAAATTATTTATATGAGTAGTACAAAATCAATTTTTAGTTTGTAAATCCAACAAAAAAAAAAAACCCAGCACAGTGGGGTGGCGGGACAGTGGGGTCGTGGCATAGTTGGGTCCAGTATAGATGATATCTGACAGTGGTTAAAATCACTATCATAAAAAACGCTTCGACGCAAATCTGTAGATAGTGTTTAATTAAAAAAAAAAAAAA